AGAGCAGGTAGATGAGCAGCGGCCCCGCATACTCCGTCAGGAAGACCTGCGGACGGACAGACGGACGCACAGATGGCCGGGGGGGACACACGGAGGGACACAGTGACACGCAGAGGGAGGAGGGACACGAGGTGGACACGTGGGGTGGAGGAAGTGGGGGACAGGGGGACACGGGGACAGAGGAGTGGACGGCGGGGGACAGGGATGGAGAGAGGGAAGGCTGGAGGGGGACAGGGACAGAGGGACACAGGGACAGACAGAGGGAGGCACAGGCGGACACACGGATGGAGCAACATGGGGACACAGAGGGACGCAGGGACAGACACATGGACAGAGGGATGGGGGGGTTGAGGGACAGAGGGATGGACAGAGGGACACAGGGACACAGAGGGAGGCAGGGATGGACACACGGACAGAGGGATGGGGGGGTTGAGGGACATGGGGACAGAGAAGTGGATGGAGGGAGGGACAGAAGGACAGACAGGGACAGAGGGATGGACGCAGGGATGGACAGAGGGACATAGGGATGGATGGAGGGATGGATAGATGGACGGACAGAGGGACACGGGACCAGACAGAGGAGCACAGAGGGTTAGAGGGACAGACAGATGGACAGAGAGGACATGGATGGATCGAGGGAGGGAGGGAGGGACAGAAGGACGGATGGAGGGCTGGAGGTGCACGGGGACAGAGGAGCAGATGGAGGGACGGCCAGACGGACACAGGGAGGGACAACAGGATGGACAGAGGGACAGACGGGAGCAGAGAGGGGGACGGACAGAGGGATGCCTCACCGTCACCCAGCTGATCTGGGCCCCCAGGTCACGGAAGTAGAAGGTGGCGGTGGTGCCCACGGGCAGACTCTGCAGCACATCCTCGTCCTTCAGCGACCTGCCCTCTGCGGGGACACGTGCCCTGGTGACCCCCACCCCGACGGGGTTGGGGACACCTCAGGGACACCTCGGGGACACCCCGCCGCGGTGGCACTCACTAGGGTCCAGGCGCAGGGACTGTCTGGCCGGGTACCACTGGGGATCTGCGGGAGAGAAGGGATGGCGTCGGTGGCACTGCGGGGACACAGGCGTGGTGGGGACAGCGATGGCATGGGGACAAGGCCCTGGCAGGGAGGGGGGGTCCCCAAGGCCCCATGATGGGTCTCCAGTCACTATGGGGACCCCAATGTCCCCATGAAGGGTCCCCACCCATGCCAGGCGTCCCCATGGCCATGAGGAAGCTCCCCAACCACAATGGGGGTCACCACAGCCCAGTGACAGGACCCTGGTGACACTGGGAACCGTGATAGCCCCGTGACAGCACTCTGGCCATGATGAGGGTCCCCAAAACCCCCATGACAGGTCCCTCATGGAGGTCCCCACAAACCCAAGATGGGTCCCCAGCCATGACAAGGGTCCCCATGGCAGGTCCTCCATCACGATGGGGACCATGGTGGCCTCATGATGGGTCCCCGCCCATGACAGGGGGTCCCCACGGCCGCGTGACAGGTCTCTGGTCATGACGGGGGTTCCAGGGACCTGCAATGAGTCCATGGTCACTATGGGGAGCCCAACGTCCCCATGAAGGGTCCCCAGACACAACAGAGGTCCCCATAGCCGTGGGATGGGTCCCTGGAGATGATGAGGGTCCCTACCACTCTATGACAGGTCCCCAGCCACAATGGTGACCACAGTGGCCCTACGATGGGTCCCTGTCCATGATGAGTGTCCCCACCACTCTGTGACAGAGGTCCCCATGGTGCCATGAAAAGTCCCAAGCCACAATGAGGGTCCCCATGGCCCTGTGATGGGTTCCCAGCCATGATGTTGACCATGATGGCCCTGTGACTGGTCCCCAGCTGTGACAAAGGTCCCCACCACCCCATGAGGGGGGTCCCCATGGCCCTGTGATGAGTCCCTGGCCATGCTGAGGGTCCCAAAGGCCCCATGACGGGTCCCCAGTCACAATGGTGACCGCAACGGCTCCGTGACAGATTCCCAGACACAATGAGGGTCCCCACGTCCCTGCAATATGGGTCCCCATGGCCCTGTGACAGGTTCCTGGTCATGATGGTGACCACAATGGCCCCAAGACAGGTCCCCAGCCACAACAAGGGTCCCCACATCCCTGTGATGGGTTCCCAGCCATGATTACACTGTCCCACATGATATCCTGGTCTCTAAATTGGGGAGACATGGATTCGGCAGATGGACCTCTCAGTGGATAAAGAACTGGTTGGACGGTCGCACTCAAGGAGTTGTACTCAACGGCTCCACGTCCAAGTGGAGACCAGTGACGAGAGGTGCTCCTCAGGGGTCAGTACTGGGACTGGTGCTGTTCAACACCTTTGTTGGTGACATGGATGTTGGGATGGAGTGCACCCTCAGCAAGTTTGCCAATGACACCAAGCTGTGTGGTGAGGTAGGCATGCTGGAGGGGAGGGATGCCATCCAGAGGGACCTGGACAGGCTGGAGAGGTGGGCCCAAGCCAACCTCATGAAGTTCAACGAGGCCAAGTGCAAGGTCCTACAGCTGGGTCGGGGCAATCCCATGCAAGAATCCAGGCTGGGTGGGAAATGGATGAGAGCAGCCCTGAGGAGAAGGACTTGGGGGTGTCGGTGGATGAGAAGCTCACCATGAGCTGGCAACATGCGCTGGCAGCCCAGAAGGTCACCCGTATCCTGGGCTGCATCAGAAGAAGCATGGCCAGCAGGGCGAGGGAGGGGATTCTGCCCCTCTGCTCCACTCTGGGGAGCATCCAGCTCTGGAGTCCCCACCATAAGGACAGGGACCTGTTGGAGCGGGGCCAGAGGAAGCCCCGAAGATGCTGTGAGGGCTGGAGCCCCTCTGCTGGGAGGACAGGCAGAGAGAGTTGGCGGGGTTCAGCCAAGAGAGAAGAGGAGGCTCCGGGGAGACCTCAGGGCCCCTTCCAGTGCCTAAAGGGGCTCCAGGAGAGCTGGGGAGGGACTCTGGATCAGGGAGGGGAGCTGTGGGACGAGGGGGAGCGGTTTGACACTGAAAGAGGGGAGATTGGGATGAGATCTGAGGAAGCAATTCTTTCCTGTGTGGGTGGTGATCCCCTGGCGCAGGTTGCCCTGAGAAGCTGTGGCTGCCTCAAGGTTCCCTGAACCCAAACCATTCTATGTTGACCACAATGGCCCTATGACTGGTCCCCAGCTGCAACAAAGGACCCCACGGCCCTGTGATGAGTCCCTGGCCATGCTGAGGGTCCCAAAGGCTCCATGATGGGTCCCCAGTCATGATGGTGACCACAATGGCTCTGTGACGATCCCTAGCCACAATAAGGGTCCCCACGTCCCTGTGATGGGGGTCTCCATGACCCTGTGACAGGTTCCTGGTCATGATGGTGACCACAAGAGCCCTGTGACAGGTCCCCAGCCACAATAAGGGTCCCCACATCCCTGTGATGGCTCCCCAGTCATGATGTTGACCATGATGGCTCTGTGACCCATCCCCAGCCGTGACAAAGGTCCCCACCACCCCATGTCAGAGGTCCATGATGGGTCCCTCGTCATGATGGTGACCACAATGGCCCTGTGACAGGTCCCCAGCCGCAGCGAGTGTCCCCACGGCCCTGTGATGTGTCTCCAGCCATGATGAGGGTCGCCACCAAACCATGGAGGGTCCCCAGCTGCCACAAGGGTCCCTGGCAGAGGGTCCCCATCTCTGTCACCATCCCCATTCGTACGTACGGGCTTTGGTGAAGAGGCTCTTGATCTCGGCGATGGTGGCGTGGGGCTCCACCTGCGGACAACCGAGAAGCCATCGGGGGGCTGCTGGGACGCCCCTGCCTCAGTTTCCCCTTCCCCCAGCCCCCCACCCAGGGGGACAAGGGACAAGGGGGAGAGCACGTGTCCCCCCCCTCTCTCCAGGTACCTTATCAAGGAAGCAGAGCTTCTCCCGCGTCCGGGCATCCAGGATCTCCACCTCGAAGAAGAGGACGGCTTTCTTCATCTTCTTGGCGGGGGGAGCCTGGCGCC